AACTTAGGAAATAATAAAACCCTGAAGAGTTTTTCCTTATTGATATTATGAAATTGCTTATTGATTTTTTATATCTGTGGCTCTGTAGTAGCACTAGAATAAGATATAGAAAAGGATTCCAGGTGTCTTGAGAAGGTATGTTGAGGCTGCAGCCGAAGATATCAACACCTGGTGATAGACTAAAGCTAGATCCCGAAAAACGGCATACGAAGATGTAGCATATGAGAATAATATAATAGTACACGGTAGGACACCGTTAGTCAGTTCTAAAACGACCCAGCTACTCGAAACCAACTACGACGTAACAGATGGTGCTCGCACCTGCTACCTACGATATTTTAGTTTGACTTTAGAAAGTCCAACCTCCATCTAAAGTCCCTATTCCCCCGTGACCACAGTTGCTGCAAGGCGTCCGAAACGTCGGGCCGTAGTTAAAATAAATTGTAAATGAGTTATCTAATATATTTCGCGTTTTGAACCGTTAAAAGTATTTTATTTAATTAAAATCTATGATTTTATAATCCTTAATAACACAAATTATTTAGTTTATAAGCAAGGCTTTGTCTGTCACATTTTTTTTTATCATACGCTAAGTATTCCAAAACTATTAAAAGAAGCCTCATGCCTTTCAGAGAGTAATAAATTTGTCAATTAAGGTAATGGCGGTAACGCCCATTAGGAAAGACCATTTCATTGCTTTAGTCCGGTAATAGAGGATATGAGTTTTAATGTCCAAACATTGTTTATGCTATTGTATTTTTATGAGCCTAATTATCTCTGTAAAGTGAGTATTTAGCTGTTTTAGCCGTAACATAATTATTAGTATAGCCAAACGCTAGTTTCAGATGGAAAGTTTTTCGGCAGTTTTGAAAATTGGTAATATACGGGTACAAAGTTGACACGGAAGATCGTAGTTTTAAAAATGGCATCTAGGTTTTTATCAACATCTTTTCATTCTTTAATATTTTTCATATGTTATTGCACATGAAGGCACTATATAAGTTAAAAATCGAAAATAAATTGAAAAAATTTTCGACTCGGGCAGGACTTGAACCGACATCGTGAGCGTTCCGTGCTGTTGCTATACCAATTGAGCTACGGAGTGACTCGGTCGGTCTGCCCGAGTCGAACATTTTTCAATTTATTTTCAATTTTTAAATTATCTTTTCAGTTTATTTACGATATCATTATAAGTATTGCAATGTAAGGCGTTCTACTTAACGTAAAACAAAATCAAAGCATATTATTCTTCGTCACAACCAATGGCATTTTAAATTATTGAACATATTATATAGTTGAAGGATACTGTCTTAGGTTACGCGAGTAGTACACATTTAAAAAAAACACCTTTACCGGTAGTTAAAAACGATATATTAGTTAAACTTATTTGGAAATGATTTTTAATTCGTGATCGGATTTTGCAGCAGCCGTGTCACGGAACAAATAAGTTAGTAATATATCGCGTTTTAAACCGTTAAAGTGTTTTATTTAAATAGTTAAAGGATTTTGGTATTAAACATATCGTAAATAAGGAAATATTTATGACGTTTACCCAGTAATCGAACCCCGAATGTATGGTCTAAAGACTGCTACGACAACTGCCTATCAAATAAATACAACTCTTTAAGTACATTTAGCGGTTTTACTAAAGTGAATAACTGGTAAAAAAATTCGCTGCTATCGTCGACTAGTAAAATTTTATGGCGACTTTCAATTGTTTAAGCACCATTTAAAACGTGCGTTAATTTCTGTTTTCAGAGCTTGGTGTTATTAACAGGACCCATTTTAATCAGACATGTAACTACAGTTATCATTGCGCGTATTTTTAGGAAGAGCCAAAAGTGTTTTTTGTTATGACATTCTAAGAATCTCTTTCTATTTCATTTTACTCGTTTATTTATTTATTAAGTTGCATGTCCAGTGTAATTAAAGGCATTTTTATTATACCCTTAATTTTTTTTGTATTTTTATATAAAAAAAAACTTCAACGGTTTAAAAAGCGATATATTAGTTAAACTGTTTGAAAATGATTTTTAATTAGAGTTTCGACGAGTTTAACTAATATATCGGTTTAACCTGTTGAAGTGTTTTATTTAAATGTGTCCTACTCGCGTAAACTATAGACAGAATTTTTATGTTATGTAGATTAAAATTTTCAAGGTATCTTGTTATTAAATAGCGTAAACAAATTATTATAAAATTATCAATAAACCTATTCAAGAAACTAATGTAATAAACAACGATATTGACTTAATATATTCTTATAAAACTAATATGTAAATGTGTATAAGTAAGCTAAATGTATTTTTCTGATCTGGCTATAGTGCAATTAGATAAAAAAAGAGAAATTATCAACCGTAGATGCTACGTTAATAAGAGTACAGGTTTAATCTAGGATAGATCACGATCTGAAGGTGCAAGAACAGAAGAGAAGAGACTATCCAAAATAATAGAACAAGAACAAATGAAGCTCGCAATATTGCAGTAAAACATCGTATTTATCATAGAACTGGCTGTACATATCTAGAAATAGATTATTAAAAAACACCAAGAACAGAACAATCGAAGCCACAGATAACAGAACCGTCACAATCGAATCAATTAATTACAAATTACAAACTAATATGTCGCATAGTATCTTTTGAACTCCGCGAATCAAAATCACGCAACATAAGCACGTGTTTGTTTAATTCCTAAATAATTGACCTTAATTAGTTCAGATACTCGATTGTCCGACTATCTCATTGCATACGAGTGTTTACAGTATAATTGTGTTTTTTACTGGCCGTGGAAAAGTATAACAATAGGACTTCGATGAGCTACGACCGTGAAACTATCGTCAATGAGAAATTGATCTTTAGCTATAGGTACCTGATATATAAAATACTTTTCTCAACATTTGTTAAATACTGTCTATAGTTTACGCGAGTAGTACACATTTAAATAAAACACTTTAACGGTTTAAAACGCGATATTTTTTTTTATCTTTTTTTGAATTTTTTTTTTTCCCCTTTTTTTATCAATATTTATTTACAAAAATCCACTGTCATAACAGAAGGAATCCAATGCCACAGTGATAATATCTGTGTTTGAACTCCAAAACGACTGAATTGATGTAATAAAACTTTGTATATTACATTAGTTAGGCTTGAGTATAGTGTGCCATTTTCACCCATTACATCGCACCCATAGCAAAAGTTACTTTTTTTCTACGAAAATATTCTTTCGAAATCGTTTATATGAAAAATTGTTTTTTTTGATTTATTAAAAAATATATTTTTTTAATTTTTAAATTTACCGGGTTTATAAAAATTATTATCTAATCTTATTATTTATTATTTAAAAAAGTTGATGGGCGGGACATGAACCTAGTGAAATGAAAAATAATTTTAATTTATACGATGATATCATCTAAAACATGCAAAACAAAAGAGATCAATATTCAAAATATCTATTACCTGCCCTTTGTAGCCAGGAGTGGATGGAAAAGGGTTCTTAAAAAAAAAAATTCAAGAAATTTTGACAAAACACTGTCTGGTGTTTGTTTCGAATGAACTTGTAGACAGTTCAAAACGTATTTATCTTTAGGTCATTCATATAACAAATAATTTCTTAATGCAATGCTCACTAGTTCTTGCTTGGGATCCGTTCTATTTTACGATTAGGAGGGAAAAACCTTATTTCGCACAAACCGAAAAATCGTCTAAGTGGTCGGCCGGTTGCTGGGTTAGATTTACCCTATAACATAAGTATTGTGTTTGTCTCTATTCGCTCGGTCGTGAAATTTCTTTATAAAAATACGTATTTCTATATAAATATGTTTCATTATAAAATGTCTCGGGACTCCCGACCAAAATGACGTCTTAAAGTAAACTATTTAATATCAAAACTGGAAGCCAGACAAACTGGTGCCGTTACGCGTTACGTAACGTAGCTGTACTCTTCAAAGTCAAGAACTGTTTTCAGTAAACGGCTTGTTATTTTATTTACTAGTATTGGCCTCTGTGTTTGTTGAGTGCAGGACACTTGCATCACTATGTCAATCCCATAAGTGGTTCGATAAACGAATAAGCAGCGTAAGAGCGGATTGATAAGAAAATACATTCTGAATTTGCGATATTGTTAACCCCTAAAAGCCTATATTCTTAGGCTCATCTAGCTGTTTCGGGGCAAGTTGGTCAAGCTTTATTTAATACCGCTGCTACATTAATGGTTGCTGCCGTCGAGTTTTAACGCTTCTCGAGGACATGAAAATACCACCTTTAAACGAAATACTTTTTAAACGATTAAAACACGATATATATTAGTTAAACTTATTTAAAAATTATAATTTACGATTATCAACTACCAATTCATTGCAATTTTTTAAAACACCTGTAGAATTTTTACTTAGTCTAATTTGTATGAAATATGTTCATCCATATTTATTTTTACTACGAGTAATATAAGAAACCTTATTTTTGTCATCAAAAGCGAAAAGAGTTCAGTAGATGTTGCGATTCTATTGATATATACTACTTAACTCGAATGATCGTTGATCTATTTTTGACGATTACATTATTATACTATTAGATCTACGCATTGGAAAATAAATATTTGTCAATTACAGACATCTAGACCGCGCAACACCAGAGAAGAATAATCTAATAGGATTTATAAACATCACTGAGACATATTTGTGTATATATGTATTTTAATATATTTGTTTTTTAAGAAAAATATTTAAAGTACTTTTGCGATGTAATATGATTAGAACATTTAAATTTTCAACGGCTCTTTTTCTAGGTGCACTGTGCAGTGTATTAGTTACTGTATTTATAAGCGTATCTGATTACAAAGCCTACACACACTCCATTTAAAACATCAAAAGTGATATTTTAATAGAATAACTAAAGCGGAAGGCTTTGAGATGGCGCCTTGAATGTTTACATGGGTCAATTTTGCAACGACTATCGGTATTATAATTTCTCTACCTTCCTGTTCAAGATTAATTCACTCACTTTGGATTTCAAGTCTTTCCAGTTTTTCCTCCGCCCTCTGAGCTACCTCCACCGGACTTTCGATGTGGTAGAATATACTGGCGCCTACCAGCAAATACACAATGTGCAGGGCCAGCATACAAGCGAACTGCTTCTTGGACATCATCTTGATGCCTTCACCATCCACACCAGTTCTCAACTACACGATAATCACAGGCACTTCGTCCTCGCGAGTAAGTAAATCGAGTGGAATTTTAAATTTATCGTGTACGCAAAATTAGCGCTCGCGGAAACCGCGATTTTTCTCCACCACATGATACCGGAGTCACCATTGACGTGAAAACACCCGAATCGATTAATCCATCGTCCGATAGATCGATTTAATAATACGTTCGATCAAAGCGGCCGATGCGATGGAATGATTTAAGTGCGCGGGCGCTTTCGAAACGCGGCGGCGGACGCGTCCTTTTTTATACGGACAGAACTGAATGTTTGACTGGCGAGCCGCATTAGCTCGTAAAGGATAATGTGTAAGGTTATTGGCGACGCCGTACATACGTGAATAATATAGTGATAAAGCTAACGCGAAAGATTTCCGTTTACGACAGAAGATTAAAAGGATTCTGCGACAGATAATGGCGTGCGTTGCGTCACTTGGTATAGTGGTTGTTATCCCAAAAATTACTGTGATGTAATTACCTAGATGAAGAATCTACTACCGTCTAATATTAGTAGTACTCCGTACTGATTTATTACAGAAAAAGGTTTCTTTACCTTCATAGACAAAAAAAATTGTTTAAAAAGGCGCCAAAGTTACTGAAAAAGTAAGAAACAAACAAATACCTAAGATATTCGTAAAAACATTACATTGCATCATCAAATCTATGAAAGATTTTCAAATCAAACTCAAATACAAATTCTTTATTTAGTTTTACCAAAACTGTGTACATTTCATTATAGGGTCTGCTAGCCCCCACACTAGGATTCCCTGTGTCGTGGGCGGCTAGACTCTTCCGGTGCATTTCGAAAAAGACAGTGATAGTCTTAGTAGCTATTTACAAAGTTTTATAAATAAGTTTTTAAATGACAATTGATTAATAAGTTTTCTGTTCGAATTAATTAATTTAGAAAAATTATTCTTATCGGAGAAAAGAAGTATTGGATAATTATATTTTATTAATAAATAAGTTAAGGAGGAAAGGACTTTAAAAGTAAAAAATCTTGGGAAAAGAAGTGTGTATAAGGGGATTTGTGTTAATTGTTTTTTCTTAGAAGTATTAAAAAATACCTAATAAGTATTTTTTTATGTAAATAGTTATATCTTTCGCTAAAGGAATAATTTAATTTAAATAAAAAAAGGAAAAGATAATTTTGTCTTGTTTCTCCGTCTTTGTCTCTCCGTGACCACGGCTCTGCAAAGCATCCAATACGTCAGGCCGTAGTTACAAAATAATTTTAAAAAAAGTTTAACTAAAATATATCGCATTTTAAACCGTTAAAGAGTTTTATTTAAATGTGTACTACTCGCGTGAACTACTGACAGGATATTTTAAATCTTACTATTTCTGATGCTTCTTTTTTACATCTATACTAATATTATAAAGCTGTTATATAATATTATAAGTTGAGTTTGTTTCAACGCGCTAATGTCAGGAATTACCGGGTCGAATTGAAAAAAAAATGTGTTGCAACTCTCGAGGAAGGTTTGAGGCTATAAAACTTCACCCTGCGACTTTAGGAGTGTAGCAACATTGGGAAATATGAAAAAAGAAAGCGGGGAACATATTATTCATCTTTGAAGGGCGCGTGCGCTGCGAAAACGGTTCAAGAAACCGAAAAAAAAAATATGTACGAAAGCATAATCCTTCTTTAAATACTTTTTAAGTTCCACGACAGTAGGATCTATGTTTTAAGTTTATATTGCAAGAACGATGGGACCCGAACAACGGGACGCGACCGATGTGGATCGGCGATCGAAGGTTTGCAAAAACAATTTTGGATACCAAAAATAACTATTCTACGCGGACGAAGTCGCTAACGCAGCTTGTTGTTTATAAGTAGACACATGTTACTAAATATCTACCAAGAATTTTTCTATTCAAACCAGCAGTTCTGATGAAAAGCGCGTTCAAACTCTTTAGCCTTATATTATTAGTATACTTAGATAACGGTAATATTACTAATCAATAATAAATAAAAATTACAGTTAGATAAAATCTATTTAATCGTTAAGAACAGTGATTCTATTAATATGAGTTAACTGTTGTTAGTTAATTAATTATCTATGTAACAGTTTTGGTGCCCCGACACGGAAAGCTGTCGTTCCTATTACCTGTTGTTACGTTCTGTCGTTGCGTGTGTGTTGTACGGCTGTCGTTAAAGATTACTAACAGCGTGGTATGTGATAGCGGTGGCACTTTTTTCCATGGCAGAAGAGACTTTAGCTCAGTGATGGGAAGTTTACTTCATTAAAAGGTTGAAGTAGCGAAGGATAAGAAGGGTTTTTGATAATCATTTGGTCGTCTATTTGATCGCCACCGGGTCCAGTATGTTTTTGTCAACTTATAAATTTTAAACATGGGACTTCGTCTGGAAATCTGGATATTAGATGAGCGGTAGGAATATCGATTATTGTCCAGGTCACGAAGCATCATTGGCAAATGAAAAAGCCGTGATATGCAATTAAAAATAAGTCGACAGTGCTTCTTGTTTAGAAGTAATGTGGCAAGGGAATTCCAAATGTTTAATATTAAACCTCTTTATTTGGCACTAGCTGGTGCACGCTTCGTCTACACAGAATTAGGATTAGGCTTTCGTAGTATCGCGCATTAAACTAAACGATGTCTATCATACATTACATAATCATGTGTAACTAACGTTTATGGCAGAGCATGCCAGAATAGCTCGCAGAAAGGTAGGTTTTCTCCTAGTTACTTGACTCTAATGTCATATTTCGGACAGCTCACACAACATCTTTATAAATTGTAGCCTATGTGTTATTCTGATGTATAAGCTATATTATTGGAGAGTTTATTTGAAATACATTTAGTAGTTTTTGCGTGAAAGAGTAACAAACATCCATCCACACATACAAACTTTCACGTTTATAATATTAGTAGGATTCATTAAGTACAATGCTAGAAATAAAGAAATGTTATTACAAAAAACTAATTAAAACAAAAGTATTAAATTTAATTTAATTAAAAGTTACGCCAAAGGGGTCTTGCGTCATAAGTCGCAGCACAGTAATGCTACAATACTGATTTTCTGCTAAACTCTTCTATATCATGTAAACATGATTATACACGTATTCTAAGAGACACGCATCTATCATTCTACACTTCAGAATCTTCAAAGATATCACACTTAGGCCCATGAAGTGATCATAGCCATTTTGACGTCACTTTATAAGTTTGCCAAGTTACATATTTCATAATCTTTTTGAAGTGTAATAACTGCGTGTAAAATCCCGTTTCCCCTTGTGGGGCATAGGGCGAACACATTCCTGTGTCCGTTTCACTGGTCGGTTTTATTTACAGGCAAGTAGTTGATCAGACTTCAGTGCCCTGCCTGACCTAAACAAGTTCCCCGGGATTCGAACACAGGACCTCTCGCGCTTAACGCAATGCTAGGTAACTCGTTTAACCATTTGGCTACAGAGGCGGTCTTACGTATATTATTTTATTTTATAATCTGCTCCTTTTTCTTTGTCAGACAGATAAGCACGGAGTTGGCTTGGTGGACGGTAAAGTACCCGAGTATGAGAGCCAGTACCCTCAAAAGATGTATAACGCAACTTATTATATACTAGCTTTTGCCGCGACTTCGTCCGCGAAGAATAGTTATTTTTTACATCAAAATTAGCAAACCTCATCACATCTTTGTAACTTTTAGATGTTACCCACTTAAAGGATAGACATACAATGTCTTGGACATGTATTTAGATGATTTAAAGAAAAATCATTATTTTATACATATTTTTTGGTTCCTTGTACTGTTTTTGCAGCGCGCGCTTCGGAAGCCCTCAAAGGTGATAATTTTCCCGGTTTTTACCATATTTCAGCTCTCTCTTCATTGATATAGGTCGCTGCCTGATGTTTATATACCTTCCTTAATGAATGGTCTATCCGAGACAAAAATAATGTTTCAATTCGTATCACTAGGTCTTGAGATTAGCACGTTCAGACAAACAAACAAACAAACTCTTCTGCTTTAAAATATTACGATAGATAGACCATTGACGTTGAAAGTTAGAAGCGAATTATTTTTACAGTCAACTAGTTCCGGGTGTGGTTTGTTTCATTCATTACATGTTCTCATGATCCTGATTATATTTTATTCGAATTGACTCTGTTCATAATTAATACGATTAACTTATTACTCAAAAGATAGACGTAGTACGTACGAGTACAACGCCACGTAGTTAAACTTTGACTCATAAAATTAGTTTATTGCAACCATATAATAATTTACATCATTTGTTTTGTTTAATGCCTTATCTCGAATTTTCCCTATTAATAAATTTATAAGAATATTTATGTTCCGCGGTGGCTCCCCCCAGTGTCATACGTGACACAAACGTATTATAAGGAAGTTGACTAAATTATTTTGTTTTTTGCACAAGTTTTATTTTTTTCCGCGTTTTACAAAAGCTAGTAGCCGATGAAATATTGCTCGTTTGTGTATTGCATGACTAATAACAAACGGGTCCTCTTCGAACCCCACCCGTTAACGGTACACGTTGTTTCTAATCATTTTTTTTTTATTTGGACCTCTTCACTCTAAATGGGTGATAGGAAGTAAATGACAGATTCCGTCTGGGTTCCTAAACTATCCACAGATGAAAAAACCCTTACGTATAATCGTTTTGATTAAATCTTTCAATGGCGCACCATAGGTTTAGTCTAGGTACTTAAATAAAATGTGATGAAAAACACAATGAACACCCTCTTCTAGCAAATCTGCAAATAATCAGGTGGTATAAATGACCATCCGGGACATGAACTATCCACCCATGAAAAAAACCTTGGGGTTTTTTTTTTTTTCTTTTTTTTTTTTTTTTTTTTTTTTTTTTCCCAAAAAAATTTTTATTCATTATTTTATTAATGTCAATATTATTTCTTATTTTATTACTAAGACCTACTGTGCTTGCTCAATTTTGCAATCCATATTGTAACGTTTATTTTATTACAAGTATTGGTTCTTTAATGTCTCAAGGATATTGCGATGTTTATTACAATATTTTCTTTTGTTATATCGGTCGTATTTACTTTAATATTGCTCCATCCTATAAAAAATATAACAGACCAGGACGCAGACGTGTTACTAGGCGCAAATGAATCATCTTCACTTTGACGTCTGGACTGTGGTATTAGCTCCTACACTTGGTGTTTCCAAAACGATACGATCTTGCAATCTTGAAGAAGTAACATACTCTTTTTAAGAAGCTGGCAACACATCTTTAAGACTTCTGGCGTTTCATAATATGATACACGATGGATCTCTCTTTCCATCGTGTGTGCCGCTTGCTTCCATAAAACAAAACAATGGCTTACGCTTAATATTTGCTTCAAATTCCAAGTGCCTAATGCTACCAAAAACTTTTTGAAACATCTATAGCGACCACCTCTATGGCAAAATGGTCAAGCGTCTGGAGAGGGAATTTGGAGGAACTCCTAAATTGTTTCGAACAGGCAGGGCAGAGATATCTGATCGCCTGTAAATAAGGAAACGTGTCGTGTCAAAGTCTCACGAAAGAAGGTGTAGTTGATGATAAAATCACAAAAACCGTCTGCTTCGGGTAAGTTATAGATTTCGTGTCGTAGATTAATTATATATTTTTTTTCTACTAATTTTAAACAATTTAGAGTTAAAAAGGATTGCTTTCGTACACTATATTTCCATGTTGAAAGATGACATTAAATGCAAAATCCTTGATAGCTCGGAGTTGTCTATCAGTTGTATGTCACAAATATTTGCATCAGCTAATCTCGAGAGAAGCGAGGATTAGGGATTACCGTGAAAGCCTCTTTAAATTCAGCGTCATATTGTGTCGTCACTCGAAGGTTATTGCACGTGAACAAAGTCAATGGAATTTTAAAGAAAGTACCCCCCTACGTAAAGCAAAGTACATATAAATTGTAACAATTCCAGACAGGTTGAAATGTGAAGTGGATGCTTTGGGGCAGTCGTGGCCTCAGGAGGACTAAAATTTACCTATCGCTTTTCAAACCGATAAAAGATTTTGTTATAAATATTTGTAATTCCCACAATTTTATTTTTCACTTCATCCTGGTTTTCTTGCAAAGTAAAATATCATCTATATGTATAAAATGTCTTAATTAAAGTATTTTAAATACTGTCTATAGTTTACGCGAGTAGTACACATTTAAATAAAACACTTTAACGGTTTAAAATGCGATTACCAGTTACTTCCCCGATGCCCGGTTCCGTGCCACGGCTGCTGCAAACCATCCGAAACGTCGGGCCGAAGTTAAAAATCATTTTCTAATAAGTTTAACTAATATATCGCGTTTTAAACCGTTCAAGTGTTTTATTTAAATAAAGTATTTTAATTAGGACGATTATGATACTTCGCAGCAAGTTTTCAATGGAAAAATAAATATCAATTACGACTAAACAGAGGCAGTAGCGTAGCAGATGCAACTTCGAGACACGAGAAATTAGAGACACAATCTTCAGCCCCCCCTGACCATGACTGATGTACCGTTAAAATGTACTAGTATTTAATATTTTCTACTCGCGTGGACTTCGCTATTAAATTCGGAGTCAGCTAAAAGGACTTGTAATTTATTATTGTGTACATAATGTAGGTACATTGTATTTCACACAAGCAATTGCTTAATAATTGTATTTTAAGTGTTTCCTTAGGATAAAAAGTAATATGTATATCTTCCCAAATCTCCTATTTCGGCGATTTGGATAGATATCGATCTGTTTTGCACGAACAGACAACAAACGACGTTTATTTTTATATATATTGGCATTAAATTGCCAATTCAATTGTCATGTTATCCTTGGTAAAATACAAAAATGATTTGTACTTCCGATGTATTGTTAGCCGAAAATAATGCTATTTTCGTATGAATGTCCTGTCTGTGTTTTGAATTTTAATAACGCAACCTTTGTATCTAATACCCCATCGATCACAAATAAACTGTATTAGTGATCGATGTAATACCCAATTTAAATGCATATATACATTTTTACGCCTTTGCAATTAATCAAGGTGGTTCTGCAGTTTTGTATAATATAATCTTCTGTATTCAAATCTCTTTAGTTATATCACGTTAAAAGTGATTATATTATTCCCATAAAAAAATTATATATGTATATCTAAATTTCTTTTCTACAAAAAAAAGAAACACAAATTGAAAACAATATCATGGTGAACAGATTTATTGGCGGCAATCCAAATTGAGTATACAGAGACGACAAACTACAGACAAAGTGAGCCTCTGAGACTACAGAGGGCGGTTTTCTTTCACAGTTTATAATAATATGACTAAATTAATTATTCTTGTTTTGTTCTTAATTTTAATAGTACCATGTGGCGTCATTTAATATATTTAAGTAAAAATAATAATGAAAAATGGCCTACAAACTTCAACATTTATTTATCTTAACCTTGATGTAAGTGCAAAGAACTCGGTATCCTAAATAAAGGTGTGTCCATCTAGGCGCTTTTAAACCCACAATTAACCTGAATTAGCAAAATGAGTGTTATCTATAATGATAATGCCATAAAATATCTGATTATTAGGAAATAGGAAGTAATAGTCGGACAATAGTACCTTTTGGGAGAGTAAGAAAAAATAAATCTAGAAAGCACGCAATGGATGTTGGTTCAAGTCCCGCCCGTGTCGTGAAATTTTATCAATCCCAATAGATTTTTATCGTCCATCCATCATGTGCAATATACATATATGTGAAAAATATCAAATATTACACAGACTATATTTTTTAATTGGTTTATCTATCTGAGTCTATTATGTAAAGTATTTATATTATAGACTCAAATATATTCCTTGATTAAGAACAATTTAATTCTTGAAAAATATTTACAACTTTAAAGTCAGAAGACCATACATCCAAAAGAGGGAAAATAACAAAAACATAGATACTGGCCTCAAATAAAACAGTACAAACACATTAATTCTGAATTTTATTGTCTATAAATTCAAGTGACCATCCTAAAGAAATGTTTATGGATGTAATTACCTCTAATGTCCAACACGTTTTTCGCTAATCATTATTTACCTGCCATACAAAGATGTATTTTAGTATAGTACTAGTGACTATATTTTAATTCTTTTTAATTTTTTTGTAACTTTGAATACAGATTGTTGTTAAATTTCGTTCTTCGACATAAATTTTAAAATGAAAAAAAATCGTCATTAATTTTCACGCTTCTTATCATGTCACGTATAATCTGACAATTTACTTACCTATGGCATTGACGCATGTTTCAAATTTCAATGTCAGTGTCATTTGATCCAATAATAACCACACTTTTTCAAACTTTTAAATTCAATAAATAATAAATATTGTCTCATTATGGATCAATTAAGCAAACAATTAGCAGAAGACATTTTTCTCCGTGAGCCTGTCGATGCTCGCATACGGTATGAACTAGTTGTTTTAATGCATAATATTGCACAATGTTATATGCTCATACTTTTTTAGTTTTCCAGGAAACCGAAGGAAAAACCTCAAGAAGATGATTCCCATCCAACTCTTAAAGTGGAAATGCAAACTATTCGGCTTAGTTCCGATTCGCAAAAGATCGTTTTAGATACTTTAAAATATATTCATGGGCCTGATTTTAAGTTGGGAAGTGCTAGCAATTATAAGGTATTTTACATTAAAATTGACTATCTCTCTTGAAATTTCCATTGTAATTAATGAAGTAGACATTGTTCATCACTAAAAGCAGACTAAAGTATCAAAGTGTTTTACCACTATTTAAGAAAAGACATACACATTTTAAGCTATTGCTGTTGTTAACTAATGCTGTTACAAGTTTATTATAAATACTAATAATTTGTATTACTGCATCATATATATTACATTTTACAACAGAACTTGTGCCTCAATCAATCAATTTATGTGTATATATTTATTTCCAAAGGACAAAGGTTCTAATCTGGGAAACAAATATTGGATGGAAAGGGGTAATTTGGTTGTTCAAGGAGGTTTTGATTATTCACTGACTACCAAAGGTGATGTGAAATCACCTGAAACTAGATTGAGAGAGTTTGCTTTAGCTAAATTGGAAAGGTTCGTAATTTATTATATACAAATCATAAGCCTGGTGTGTTTTAATTTTATGGACTGTTGCATTGAAAAGTTTTCAACGTAGTCACCTATGTAAATAAATGAGTTTTGGCTTTGTCTTTGAACGGAAAAGTCCTACCAATTGCTACATAGGAACACATAATCACTCACAATAAATGGTAGGACAAAATTAAGGCAATAGATCCTATTTAACTTACCTTTCAAAGGACAATATTTTAAAATAAATTGTTAAATAAAGCATGTTTTATTTTTTTCAGGTACAATTTTCATAAAGTGCACTGTTCTGAAGCTCTACACCTGGCTAAGGAAAATACTGACAAAGCTTTAGAGATTCTCTCTGAGAAATATTTCAGTTTACAATTGCAAAATAAACCTGAAAATGTACCTTCTGTAACAGAACTACAGGAAATGAAAAATGACGAAGTTGCTGTATTAGAGTCTATCTACGATAGCATATTTAGGATAAAAGATACAAATACATGGAGTGTGAAGATAAATATGGATTATCTTACAAAGATGTATGAGAAAACTAGTGTCATTGTACCTCAAAAGAAAGAAAACACAAATTTTAAGACAAAAAAGAAAGAAGTGTGTAAACTATACCTCGGTGGATCTTGTAGGTTTGGTGCAAAATGTAGATTTTTGCACGAAGCCAAAGTAGAAAATGTTATTATTGAAGAGAAAAAAGAAAAAATAAATTATGAGCTTGAAATACGGTTCCCAAAAGATAGTGTCTATCCCTATGAACCACCATTAATATTTTTCAAACTTGAAACTAGGAGTAAGCTAATACCAGAACGCACATGTCTTTTAATAACTACGAGGTTATATGAAGAAGCACAAACATACGCAAGGGATGGAATTCCATGTATATATTCTTTAGTAGAGTTATTAAATAATGAAGACGATATACTCAATTATATAAAGTTTTCTACTAAAGAATTTCTTAGTCCTACAAATTCTCTGCTACCACAGATTGTAAATAACGAAGACAGTGATAGGCAAAAACCGTCACATTATATTTTAAGTAAAGAAAGAGATAATAGACCAAGTGTAAATTTTGATAACATTATGAGTGAGAATAGAGAAATAGCGAAAAGGTTTTCAGAGAAGCCTGAAAATAATAGATATAATAAAATGATGACTTCTCGAAGAGGTTTGCCGGCTTGGCAGAAGAAAACCAGCATACTGGATGCTATGAAAAAATCACAGGTAATTAATTGGAATAATCCCTAATATTATAAATGCGAAACTAATTCTGTCTGTCTTGTGTGTTCGCGAGTAGTTTCTTTTACGTTTTGAGACTCTGTAAATTCATCCAAAGTGGGGAAGTTAAAAACATTCAAATAAGTTTTACTAATATATCGTTTTAAACCGTTAAAGTGTTTTATTTAAATACTTAACGGATTTGAATATAATTTTGTATACAGATGGCTTAGACCCTGAGAAAGGACACAGGCTACTTTTTATTGCAAAAAGGGGGTTGTAAGGGTTTATAAGGGGATGAAAGTTTGTATGGAAATTCGTGGTTTTTGAAGCTAGAAAAATGAAACTTTCTCCTTTGGATTTTTGGGAATAGAAGTGGGAGTGGGGAGGGGTTGGCGTGGGCGTGGGAGTAGGGGTTGGCGTGGGAGTAGGGGTTGGCGTGGGCGTGGGGGTGAGTGTAGGAATGAGAGTGGGAGTGATGTGAGGTGAGAGTGTTGCAGCAATTGAGCACTTACCATAGATTGGCTGCCTTAAATGCGCTTTTACATAAATTAATAAACAGCCTAAATAATTAAACATTATATCCCAAGTCACTATTTCACGCGGACGAAGTCACGGGCACAGCTAAATATGTGTCTCTTAAAACTATTAAGACCCATGCTAATAAGAAAAAAAACCATTAGTGTTACTAGTACACCAACAGACAACTATAAAATAAATTAATAAAATGAAAAAATAAGCTTAGAGGAATAGACTTACTTTGATAATCTGTATTACCTTCCAGGTAATAGTTATTAGTGGAGAAACAGGTTGTGGCAAAAGTACTCAAGTTCCACAGTATATATTAGATGAATGGTTAGAAAATTTCAAAGAGGATCCAAGACACGTTGAAATAGTCTGTACCCAGCCGAGACGGATATCGGCTATTGGTGTCGCCGATAGAGTGGCTGAAGAGAGGGTGGAAAAGACGGGTCAGGTTATTGGTTATCAGGTACGAAAAGGGAATGCGGATTTAGGCAAATAATAGAAAGAGAAGGCTTTTAACTGCCTTTTTGTTCATAAACTTGAAATTAAAAGCTGACTTAATTAAAAGTTTTCAGTAAAATTAAATTAAATTTAACACTAACGGTTTAAAACTGTTAATATATTAGTTAAACTTGTTTACTAATTATTCTTAACTACGGAATCAACATGTGGCCACGGCTGCTGCAAAGGATCCAAAACTGGGCCGTATCAAAATAATTTAAGAACAAATATACTCGTGATTTCGCATATTAAACCGTAACAGTGCTTATTTAAATGTGTACTACAGACAGTATTTAATTAAAACTAAAAAATTTTTGCAGATAAGATTGGAAAACAAGATGTCATCGAAAACACGGCTTTCCTTCTGCACAACTGGTATTTTATTAAGGAGACTGGAGTATGATCCTCAATTAACGTCAGTCACTCACATTATTGTGGATGAAGTGCACGAGAGATCGGAAGAAAGTGATTTTCTGCTACTCATTCTGAGAGACCTTATCAAAGTCAGAAAGGATTTGAGGGTAGTTTTGATGAGTGCAACGCTGAATGCAGATTTGTTCTCGGATTACTTTGACAATGTTCCAGTTCTAGAAATACCTGGTAAATTTTGAGAAAAAAAATACCTTCATATTTTCAATCATATTAATCTACATAAGTGACGCGCTCATTGGTGTAGTGGTAGCGGTATCAATGGGTTGTGGGTTCGGACCCCACCGGGTCCAACATTTGTCTAATCAATTTATAATTTTTCTGAACATGGACTACATCTGGAAATCTGTATATGAAGTGGGTGGTAGGAAGGTCAAAATTCCGTCGGTTTTATCGTGTTTCGGGGTCACGTGTATGGATGTCCGAATATCCAAAGACAAAATAGGTCGAGAGCGCATCTTGTTTAGGTTTTATATATCAGAGCATTTACCATAAAGTAAATCACTTGCTTGCCCTGACTTTCTCTATCATAAAAAATAAATATAGCTGTAATTTTTTATTATTTCTTTTCATATTACAGGCAGGACGTTTCCAGTAGAACAGGTCTTTTTGGAAGAAATTATGGATCTAACTAATTATGTCCTAGAAGAAAATGGACTGTATGCGCGCAAAATTAAAAAAGGTAACGCTACTGTCGAACTATGAATGCTAAGTATTTAAGTTTTTTTTTGCGCTCTAATAATAAAGTTTTCCATTTCCAGATAAGAAAATCGATTTCGAAACGGAAATTGAGACTTCGGATGTACGTTCGGAAGCGTCCGAGGCGCCTAAATTGACGATACGCGACGAAAATCTCTCAATATCCCAAGTACTAGCCAGATATCCGAAGTGCAGTAAAGTGACTTGTAAAAATATGTACTTGATGGATGTCGAAAAGGTAACAAAAAATTTACTGGTAATATTAAAGTTAAAATACGTAAAAATTATGGTTCTTTAAAATGTACTATATGCCTTTCTATAAGTTTTTAAAATGCTTTTGAAAATTTGCGACTCTAATCATAATATCTATTAAAAAATAATTTAATGGATAGTTAATCAGTTATTGTTAAGTTTTACCTGAAAGAAATTAATTCCAAGTTCATAATTAAATTCTGTCTAGTTCGTAATTTTATCTAAATTCATTATTTAAATAAAACACTTGAAACGTCGTGGTCATGGGGCACAAGGCTGCAAAGCCTCCGAAACGTTGGGGAGTAGTTACAGTTAAATAAAAATACGTAGATGAAACGCAAGTATCATATCCGCGTTTTAAACCGTTAAAAAGGTTTTATTTACATGTTTATCAACTAGTACTACGTGAGTACAGCATGAACAACACTTTCACAATTCATTATGACAAATTACTATCTTTCTAAGTTACAATATTATCTCTCATATGATGTTCCTTTTTTATAATTATTAATAAATTGTTTAAATATAGTGAATGTTAATTATAAAATTATCCTATTTACTTTTAGATAAACCTAGAATTAATAGAGCACGTCCTAACTTACATTGTATCTGGTGACCACAAATGGCCAAAAGAGGGCGCTGTTCTGGTATTTCTGCCTGGCATCGGTGAAATTATGTCACTTTACGACCAACTGGTGGAAAGTCACACTTTTAGTCCAAAGTGAGTGTCCTTCAGGTAATTTGAATTTGTAATTAAACAAGACAAAATATTTAATAAGACAAATTCTAATATTTGTCACATGTTATTGCACATAATGGCATCTACACTATAAATTAAAAATCGATTCTAGATTGAAACATTTTACGACACTGGTTATGGATGGATGCCGGTTTAAATCCTCCTCCTCGTGTGTAAATCTTAATTAATTCTTAATTTAATAAAACACTTTAACAGTTTAAAACGCGATATGTTAACTAACTAATATATCGCGTTTTAAACCGTTAAAGTGTTTTATTTAAATGACTACTCGCGTACTAACAATTAATTCTTAATTTAAAATATATTCTTCAATCGTCATAAGTATCTTATTTGTCGCATGATGTCTATTGCATTTTTATAATTTTTAATTACTTAAATATAACTTTCCATGTAAAAACACGTAACTAATCCTTTAAAATATGACTTGAAAGGTCTAGCTCAATTTAAATTGTAACCAAGTCAAATTTTACGATAAAATATCACCACATTGCTTATGTTTTCAGAACTGGTAAATATAAGTTGATCCCGTTGCATTCAACATTGTCAAGCGAAGAACAAGCGTCCGTCTTCAAACACCCAGGAGAAGGAGTTCGTAAGATTGTTCTGTCTACTAATATCGCAGAGACGTCTGTTACTATAGATGACTGTGTGTTCGTCATTGATGCTGGCAGGATGAAGGAAAAGAGGTGAGTTTTTCCTCTCCTCTGTTGGAGTTAAAATCTTTATTTTTACAGAAACATTTTTTTTTATGATAGAGCGGAGGCTTCACTTGATGGTAGGTGAAATACCCAAGCCTATAACATCTAAGCAGATGCGTCGTCGACCTATTGCCTCTATATTGGCTTTGGATATTTGGATATCCACTGAGTGAAACCGAATCGCGATTAAACTTTTCGGTGTTTTCATCTGTGAACTGTGGTTCCTAACCCGGGCAGAATTTCGACATTCCTACTACCCATTTGACATCCAGACTTCCAGACGAAGTCCACCATGTTGCAGAAAAATTAAAAATTGAGTAGAAAAATTTCGGTCAAAACGAGTTTTAAACCTTTAAAAACGTTTTATTTACCATGAAGACTATGGAATGCATTACATTTATAGGTTCGATTCCAACCGTAACATGGAGTCGTTAGATCTAGTGTGGGTTTCTCGAGCCAACGCGAAACAGCGACGTGGTAGAGCGGGACGGGTGATGCCCGGGGTCTGCATACACTTGTTCACATCACATAGATACCAGCACCACCTCGCTGAGCAACCGGTGCCGGAAATTCATAGGGTGCCTTTAGAACAATTGCTTTTAAAGCTCAAGATATTGCCACTGTTTCAAAATATGAGTGTACATGAAGTTTTAGGTGAGTAGATATTGAATTTTGATTTATTAAATTATTAAATGTAAGCTAGTCGTCAGTCAAGGTATATCTATTGATTTATTTTTATATTATCTCAGCTCGATTAGAAAAGGACAACTCGTAAAATTCAAATTCAAAACTTTTAGTTTAGTTTTTACAATTACATGCTAATAATTTAGATCCGTAGTACTATACAATCCGTTATATAATACACAAATAATAGGCAATCGGTACCAGTCTTAGCTGTGCTGGTAAGTGCTTGTCACACACAGCAAAGTGAAGTTTATAGATAAAATAAATAAAAATATAGTTTTAATTAAATATGCAAATGTATCATAGAGTTTATAAGATGTTGAGACTAAAATTGATTGAGACTAAAACAATACCACACATATTTAAATAGTCCTGTATTGCAAACCGTGTTAGACATCTGATGCTTGTTATATAGACTAAGTTACATAAGTCACTTAAAACACTGAATGTAATGTAATTTATCCCTTTTTTCAGCGAAAACAATAGAACCACCTGAGAAATTCAATATAGACGGCGCGTTATCCCGACTACAAGACGTAGGAGCTCTTGACAAGAGTTATCAGTTGACGGCGTTAGGACGACATCTCGCCTCGCTCCCAGTAGACGTTAGGATAGGGAAACTCATGCTCTTCGGGGCTATCTTCTGTTGTGTAGACTCTGCGTTGACTATGGCTGCGTTCTTGAGTCATAAAAGTCCGTTTGTGGCTCCCTTTGGAAAAAAGGTATTTTTTTAAGTTACCTAAGGTATTGTATCATTAAACAGAATTGTTCTGTACTCACTGTGTCCATATTATATTGATTAAAACAAATCATTTTCAAACCCAAACATGTTCATCTAAAACGATGATTTTCTGTAAGAATGTTAGATATATACACGAGATGGCGTTAAATCTGAATACATTAATCAAATTCTTAGAACTGAGTATAGAAAAACAGTACAAGGTTATCTAATACCCTGGCATTACAGTCAAAGCAGCAGGGTTATGTAGCCCTCTGTCCTTCTATCCAGATCCACATGACAGTACCTTAGGCTGACAATTGATTACGATGCTTCATGTTGTAAACAATTTTAACCAAATTAGATCCAGTCGTATTCAAAATTTAACAAACATTATTATCACTTTTCAGACGGAAGCAGACGCCAAAAGACGTGAATTCGCTTGTGCTAATAGCGATCAACTGACTACACTCAGGGCGTATAAGGTAGTTGCTTTATATCTATTTCAAGTATTAAATTAAATGTAAAAGTAACTCTTATCTATTTACATAAGTAATTTCATTACCTATTACGTCGAAACGTTTTTAGTTTTAATAATCTTTTCATTGAGATTGAAAAAAAAGGATTTTTTAAATATTGTCTGTAGTTTACGCGAGTACACATTTACTTTAAACATTTTAACGGTTTAAAACGCAAAAATATTTGTTAAACTTATTCACAATTATCTTAACGACCCGACGTTTCGGATATTTTGGTCACCAAGAAATTAAAGATGGAGGGTGGTTCTAATGTCAAAATAAAAATTGTAACGCTAGCGCCATCTGCGTATCTGTCGTAGTTAAAATTGCCAAATACTAATTACGCTAGATAGCTTAGCAGAAAACCGTCTGAAGTGTTTTATTTAAAAGATGATTGCTTTTCAGAAGTGGCAAGAAGCAATGAAATCCAGTACATACGCCGGCTTAGTGTTTGCCAATGAGAATTTCCTATCTCACAAAACGTTGCTGATGCTTGCCGATATTAAACATCAATTGCTGGGTTTATTGGCTTCCATCGGCTTTGTACCGAACATGCCAGCGCTGAGAAAAAAAATGTGGCGAGATTCTGTGGCCAAATTGACTGGTGACGAGGTGAGATTTTTTAAATACAATACAGATAGTGTTCAAATCTGCTACAATATTTTACATATTATAGTGTATATGAGAAACAAAATAGCACGTGACTTAAAACAATATTTACATTACCGCCATCTGGTTTATAACTTGAATACTATATCATTAATTTGTTAAAATAACTAAAGAAAATATTGTCATACATAGTACAATATTTTTATTATTTTAATTCACTGTGTCAGAAATGAAATTAAAAGCAAATAACGAATTCAATAATAGTAATTGAAGTAATCGCCATCCACTGGTCTTTATTGGTAGCTCATGTATTATATGCTTTTAGCTCAATTCGAATGGAAACAACGATAAGCTGTTGGCAACAATATTGTGTGCTGCCTTGTATCCTAATGTTGTTAAGGTAAATATTTCAGTTATCTTATATATCTCTACAGTCTACAGTAATCATATTTTTTCTTTTGCTAGAGACGTTTAAAAATATAATGGCATTTTAACTCGTCAACCGGACTTTAAACTGGATCAATATTTGTATATTTACTACGAGTGTGCTATATATTTTTGAAATTTAATTATCCTTTATTAAAGGTGTTAACTCCAGAGAAATCATTTCACATGCAAGCTGGTGGCGCAATACCTCGTCAAGCTACATCTGACGAACTGAGGTTCAAGACTAAATCTGACGGATACGTGTCTTTGCATCCATCATCTGTGAACTTTACAATCGGATATTACTCTAGCCCGTACCTAGTGTACCAGGAAAAGGTCAAGACGACAAAAGTGTTCATTCGAGAATGTTCTATGGTGCCTCAATTGCCGCTAATACTGTTTTCAGGTGAATTAAGCTTCTAAATAATACTTCACACATTCTCACTTAAATATTCAGATCAGATATAATGGATATAATCACTACCGCATAAAGGAAGGATTTTTCTGTCATGATCTCTTTTCTCTTTAACAAACACAATATCGATGAATGTTTGCAATTGCGCCATCTATCGTTTAATTATGTACTATTTTGGCTTTATAACTAATAATATACCAGTTAGTTATAAAGCCAAAATAGTTATGGTTACTCGTTTGTAATTACGAAATATATATTTTTAGGGTGCAGTTTGGCGGTTGAATTACATAACGGTACATTCATAGTATCGTTAGAAGATGGTTGGATTATGTTTCAAGTTGAGAATCACGAGGTTAGTTCAGTATTACGAGTACATAATACTGGGGACTAAAAATATTTTCTCTGAAAATCGACAAATTTAATTCATCACTTCGTTTATTCGTTACAGGTTGCTGAAATGTTGAAAGCTATAAGGATCGAGCTAGTTAACCTTTTAGAAGAGAAAATCAATGACCCGTCTTTAAATTTATTGCATTATGAGAAAGGAAATAAAATTATTAAAACGATAGTTCAAATTGTCACTAAGGATTAAATAATACTTAGTTAGTTTATGAAATGCTACAAAGATGACGGTGTTGACAAATCTGAAATTTGATAAAATTTACCTAATTACGGGTTTTAACTTTAATCAAATATAATACATAACCGACTAATATTTGTCCTGTAAATACATTTCCATGTATAGCACTATACTATTTTGTTGTTTTTCTGTTAAATACCATATTGTTGTGTAAAGAAATAACTGTTGCTATTTTCGCTTTCGAAAGGTTGGTTTATTTATTTTTTGTGATATTAAACTATAATGACAATAACAGTTCCTTCTCTGTGTGTTAAATAAATTTGTATTTGTAAATATGTATGTTTGAAAATATATTTTATTAATAAAAGCGGTCTACTACACTTATTTCGATATAGTCTATGACAACGATTCATTTTTCTTAACTTTCAAATTAAGATTTGAAAGTTAAGAAATAAATACTTTCAAGAAAAATACATTTAAACTTAAATAAAACACTTTGGAGGGACACACGGGAACACTTCACGGGTCTGGCCGTGACCACGAGTCTCCCCGTAACAACGGCTTCTACAAAGCATCCGAAACGTCAGGCCGAAGTTTAAAATAATTTTCAAATAAGCTCAACTAATATAAATCGCGTTTTAAACCATTAAATATGTACTCGTGTAAACTACAGACAGTATTTACATTTAAATTTTATTGAGTGCAGAGAATATATACAAATTAAAGTTGAGTTGTCCGGCAAATTTATATATACTTCTTATTTACATTACTAAAAGTGTATTATTTGTAAGTGTATTTACAAACGCGGCCCAAAGTCTTATCAAATACCCAGCGGTAACAAAAACTAGAAAAAAGGCAAGTGAACAGCAATTGACTGAGATTTTGAAATATTACCAACATCAATCGCATTTACCTCGGACAAAACGTTTTGCCGCCAAAACTAACGACCGTCCGTCACACCCACGTCCATATATCACGGGTTGAGGAAAAATGGCCTCGGAAAAACTGGGATATTAGTTTAGGTATTATATTTGAACAAAATATCTATAATATTAAAAAATGGGCTTTATGCAGCCCATTTTTTTCATATCATAGATATTTTACGTTCAAGTTTGAGTATTTATTTTGTTGAAGATATATTTATGTTTTCTACCAAGCTTACTACATATGTATAAAGCTCTACCATAACGGTCGGTCAATATAAATTGTTTAGCATTTTAAAGCTTTCGAAAGATATTTTTATCTCTGGGATTCTCAATGTCTCAATTATTTATGGTAGTATTCTTAAACTGGGATTAAAGTTTTTGAGAAATACTTACAACTTAGCTATAGTAAATATTATACCTATTCCATCGTCAATGATATCATTTGTGTGCATAAAAACAAAGTAATGAAGCTTTCAATTATTAATATAAACCGCGTGATATAAAAAAAGAAGTTAAAAATTGCACCCCAAAAGTGCTGTCCTCATTTTTAACCGTATTAGAATATTATAGACGATTTTACAATATGAATGTTCCAATACCGGTGTCCGTAGTCGTAAAACACACGTGTTTGGGTCCACCTACATGTGTACTTTGATACCCAACTTTTGGGATAGGACCGTCCGAGTTGAACGTTGGTAATATGTGGACATGCCAATATTTTGGTGAAACATAATGTAAAAGGTAAAAGAAATGAAACCGTAAGTGAATGTATAGCAGGATTACGAAAAGTATATAAATCAATTTGTCACTACCTTTTTAAACAGAGATGGCGCTGTTAGCAGTCGAATGAGCCCTAAAATGTCGCTACTTGCTAATCATTGGTTAATGGTTCGGAGTCCAATAAGACGCGGCGTTCGTATAGGAATTATACTTATTTTAACAATATCTTTATTTTCTATTACTTTCAGAAACTTGTATTAATTATATTTACATTCGAGTTATTTAATATTGATATATGCGCCACAGTGCATTTGCGTCAAAATTACTAAGAGCAGAGATTAATATCTCAAAATATATATCATGTTTAGAAGACTTATGTTCGTCTGAATTAATAAACGAGAATAATTTTAGCCCGTCCCTGCGAATCCACATTATTCTTGTAGTAAACCGCCTGTCCTATTTCGGCCATTTTGAATCGCATCACGTACGGGCCGACGCGTAATTGGCGCCATTTACCGTCTCGGCCGACGCTTCGTTACACGTTTTTGGCCCTACGTCCGCTGAAAACCAATATCCCGTCTCTGTAATTTAGCTGGGACGGGTTAAACTAGAACCATGCTCATAGTAGGTGTTAGATGGTCTTTACAATCCTTTTCATGAAAGGGAAAATAGTAACGTGGGGTGTGACGTAAATCGTACTTAATCCTTCTCGGAGACAGTAGTCGACCAGAACATCTAAACACACCATCAGTTATGGTGCTTTAGTGATAGTCTTAGGAACACGTTTGTACGACTGTAAGGCTACGTAGATATGCTGTACTTACCTACAGATATTTTATATTGTAAAATAATAAGGACGTTCTTATATCATTGCACTTATACTGAAAACAAACATGTCTTATTAATTGATTAATAAATAAATTAAATTTTGCCATATTTAAATTAATTACCATAAAAATTAAAAATAAAAATGTAGCTGGAACCGTCACTCATTTCTTCGATAATTATTTTCATATACCTACTTTTGTCCTCTTGCGTGTTGCTTGACACGCTAGCTCAAATGCACGAACGCTGTGGATTTTTATTTATTTATTATAAACAATTAAAACGACAATAGCCAGTTACAATAATTGAATAGAAGTACACTTAATATAGGTTTTTAAGTACCTATATTAAGTGTATTATGTACATTAGGACAAAATATGCCGGTTCCAGTCCTGCCCGTGTCGTAAATTTTCAATTTATAATCGATTTTTATGTGGAAAATGTTAAAGTTTTCAAAGTCTCCTTTTTTTATATGCCAATATAAAAAAAGTAATGTCACATAACACCTAATCAAACATAGTTTTTCTCTTTTTAAACCTATAAACAGAATCGAAGAATGCTACCTATTATATACACAGTCTCAGAAACCCGCACATTATCGCACTGTCCCCAATTTCATTCAGTAAAGCCGAATAAATCAAGCCGAAATCCGTCGATAAATTTCGTCCCAATCCTGGTCATCGTCGACCCAAAGGCATTTCAGCGTCAACCCGTGGACCTTTCTGCTAAATAAATCCCTTATCTGCATACGGCAAACCTTTCTAAGGTCCGGTTTCATAAATTCAGGTTGGGTTCACAAACTTTCAGAGAACTATATAGAGCTGTTAATTAAATTAACAAGCTAATAGTAACACTAAGAAATAATTTTCTTGGTTATTTTAAGACAAGCATGGGATTCCATATAATGGGAGGTGAAATAACCTAACAATGTAACATCTAAACGAGATTCGCTGTCGACCTTTTTTTGGCTTGGGATATTTGGATTTATATTCTCTTCTCTTTACCTTTCAGAAAAATTATAAATTATATCATTGCACCAACGACTCCGCAAAATTGAGTGATGGATTACAGCAATTAAAATTGCGATATGCATATCGTTGAAAATTTAAAATAATACCGTCCTAGAAAGCATAATTATCAATTTTATTTACAGTAAAAGAAACGCAACGAAAGTCCTCCAAATGAATAAGTTTTATCAGCTCTGTATATGTCTGTTTGGACCGCTCATTTGGAAACAGGCAAGCGACTCGAATCAATAGTTGGTAATTCGGAGTTTGTGGCTAATCTCTTGTCTTGAAACAATTTTCTGCCTTAATTCTTGTTATTAAATTTCTACTTATTAAGTATATACGGACGATTTTATTTGATACTAGCTGAGTCGGCGACGTGGTCCGCGTGGAAAAGTTATTTTGGGCAGCCAAAATTGTTTTTGCAAACTGTAACCTACGTCATCGGTCGCGTCCCGTCGTTCTTGCGAGTTCATCTTAAGAGTTAGACATATAGGTACTATCGCGAAAATATATTTTTTAAGAGAACTCATTATTTTATACTTACTTTTTGGGTTTCTTGAACTGTTTTCGCAGCCTACGCAGTGGAAACCCACAAGGAATGAATAATTTTCCCCGTTGTTTCGACATTTCCCGCTGCTTCTTCGCTCCTATCAGTCACAGTGCTTTTTTCTAGCCTTCATAAATAATAGTTCTAAACGACATAAAAGTAATTTTTCAATTCGAACCACTAGTTCCTGAGATTAGCGCGTTCAAACAAACAAACAAACTCTTCAGTTTTATATATTAGTATAGATACAAGTCCATACAATTATTATTAGGAACAAAACTACAATAGGGTAGCTGCCACTTCTTTGGGCAGATAAAAACCCCTCAATGTCTTTTCTCACTCGCACTTATAACTCGTGTAGTATTTTTATCTCTTTCTCCGATTGACCGTCGGACCATTGGTCACTTTATTTCGCCATACAAGTTTTTCGACGAATGAAAACAGTACTGTCAGCATTGTCAGGCGAATATGTTTGACAAAAAAAATTACGTGCACGAATACAGATATACGTCTTACTTTTTGTAAATACTTTCAGGTCTAACTATATTATGCTATAAATATTTGCATATTTAAATAAAACGCTTTTGACGGTTTAAATGAGGAATTATATTAGATAAGGAGCGGATGAGGAAGAGGATAAGGCGAGGATGGTCACGGGAACATATTTGAGTTGACGAATAAATTATAAAACAGAAAAAAATTTAAAAACACAGTTGTACAATTTACACATTGCCTGAATGGGCGAACCATAGTTATTTTTACAATGTTGTATGTGCAGAGGACTATAGGTTATTCTGCAATTAAATGATGGGACGCATGAATGTTACATAAGTAGCATTCCTGCGCCCCCGCCCCCCCCCCCCCCCCCCCCCCCCCAAACCCCCCCCCCCCCCCCGGGGGGTTAAAAATTTTTTTTTCCCATAAGTAGCATTAACTATTTATTTAGACATATTAAGTAGCACTAAGTATTGAATACCCGAGTAT